CATATTACAGTTTTTTTTTTTTTTTTTTTTTTTTTTAATGTGGCGATGAAGGATTGTTTCCACAGTCAAAAGAAACACAACTGGTCACCTGCAGAAATCGACTGCCTTACCAGCAAAACACCATCAGTCATAAATGGGCTCCCACCCTGAGGGAGCTGCAGCACCTGAGAGTGACAACCCTGTCACCCCCAGTTTGCGGGGGGGGGGGGCGGCTGGCAGCCCTCCCGGGCAGGGGCAGAGCAAGAGACAGGGCTGAAGGTCTCCCAGTGAATCTGCACCTGCAGTCCAGAGCAGGGCTGATTACCTTGGAGAATTTCACTGGGACAGACCATCGTCTCCCAACTGGAAATTATTTCGCTAAGCTGTCCACTGATCCATATGGTATTTATTTCATTTGTGATTTTTCTTCCCTTTTTAACATTGGCATTTGCTGGTATGGCTCCGCAGCGTGTGAGAAGAGACACGGCTGGAAAAACCTGTGGAGCCATCACTGAAAAACAGGATACTTCTGCTCTGTTCATGAACCATGTACAAATGGGACGCCACTGGTTGGTTTGTTTTTTTGGGTTTTTTTTTGGTTTGCTTATAAACTACTCTAAATAAAAATAATTCTCTTCTGGAAATGGATGGAATGTATATTTTGACAAGTACAAAACCATTTTAAATGTTCACTAAATACAAGGAACATCTTGCTATAAAAATAACAGACCCTCCCACCCGCTGTCCCCTCTTTACATTTCTAATTATAAAATGGTACAGTCATTTCAGGTTCCCAACATGAAACAAGAAGGATGGTATTATGCACACATACAAAACACTGAGATATTTGACATCTGAAATAACTGTATACATTCAGAGCAAACAAGCATCTTCATCTTGCTGTTGTTTTTAATGCTACACAGGACTGAAGAATCAAGAAATAAACAAGAAAGGAAAAAAAAAAAATTTTTTTTTTCTCTACTTTTTTTTTTTTTCCATTCACTCCAGAAAGAACTTCCACTGATTCACAACTAAAACAGTTGAGAGAGACAAGATTAATTTCAGATGGAAAATTTATCCGTTGGCTTTTCATTCAAAATCCACAACATCTTTCATTGGTCCTTCTTCTCTAGTTTTCCCTTTGAAATACAGCTCCTGCTCAAATCTTTTTTCTTGAAAAAAGTGCCAAAGAAGAGAAAGGTAGCCGAGCGGGTTTCCAGCCCGGCGGGGGAGGCTGCATGGCGGAGGGCAGCCTTCTTCCTCACTCGCTGTCCCAGCCTGCAGCTGCCATCTGCTACCCAAACAAATCCAGACTAAAAAGTCCATCTGGCATTCCTCTTTCAACTGCGAACCTATCAATTAGTTCAGGTAACAGCTTGGTAAAGTAAAAGAAGTGCTTGTGTTGGATCAGTTGTCCCTGTTTAAAAAGTCTGCAAAAACAACACCTCCACCCTCATTTTCCCTGGCCCCTAAATATTTCATGACATTGTTTTTCACCGCTTGCGTTAGCCAGGCAGATTCACTTCTGTCACGCTGGCTGCCTGATACACGCTCACACATTTTGCATCGATAAAACAAATGAGTCAATGCTCAGTGTTCTTCAGTGAAGCAGCAATCCCAGTCTGCACTGGTTAGGAAGAAGCTTGGCTGCCCTCATATGCCGAAACCCCTGGGCCTGTCTTTTGTTAAGCCCTTAAACTGAATTTAGGCTGGCTCCATCCCCATGCTGAACCAGAGCAGTCCAACCTGCTACAAGAGATACAGGCAGCACAAAATGCAAGAGAGGAAGCATCATAGTATTAGTCTGATCCCATGATCGCCTTCCCCTGAAACTTAAAGGCTCACACTAGAGCAAATATTTGTGAGAAGGGCTGGATTTCTCTTTCAGTCCTGCAGAACAGTTGCATCCCAAAAGAAAACCAAGCCCTCCCTCTTTTGTTCAGAGAGTCAGCTTGTCCTGGCCCCTATTCCTAGCAGACTGGTAACTCTAGCCCTACAACAGGGACCTATGAGAACAACAAACAGTTAAAAATGTCCATTATTGCTAAAGAATAGAAATTAATAAATAACTATTGGTTTTCTTGGTTTGCACAGCCTATAAATTCCTATTCCTGGCTTATTTCAAACCATATGCTTGGCCATGAGCTTTTTGACAGACAAGAGATCACAGAGGCATGAGCCTCTTACAAACAAAGCCTAGGAGATTCCCAGCTGCCTGGGCTGAAAGGCATTTCCCGCTGTTATGCACAACCTCTTATCGTCATTTCAGTACGGACTAGTTGTCACAACAAGGACTTGCAGTCCAGAGTTTTATATATAAAGATGTGCCCTGATCTTTGCCTTCTAATCACAGAACGCACTCAAAGGGCTGTGGCATTTATTCAAAGGAAAAAGTCTGTAAGGCAAACCTCTGGAAAATCTATATAATGACTGTGCTCCAGGTTTAACAAGAACAGCAAATAAAACACAGTTTATGGAAAATCTGTAACTATGCTTTACTGATGACTAGAAGTTATCATAGAAGTGTTAAGTGATCTGCAGATACCTGCCAGGGCAACCCGTCCACACGGAAAGGTCTTCAGAGCTAGGCATTTTTCAAACTGGACAAGAATTGCTTTTTATTTAGCAAGGGGGAAAAGAGGGTAGGTTAACAGGTTTATCAACAAAAACTTTGGATCGCAAAATGCGTGTTCTCTGACATTAAATTCAGAGCTGGATCTGTCTCTGGTTATGGGCTGTATTTTGTTAACAAAATAAGAATGTATCCCAAACGAGTCATTCAACAAGAGACAAAGTACTGCCCTTCTTGCAATGACTTCCTCTGGATCTGATCCAGGGGTCATTAAAGTAGTGAGATCTGAGGGGCCTCTTACCATATGTGATTTCAATATATTTTTTTCAAATTTCCTCTACAAAGCCTTCTTGTTTAGTGCCACAATGTCCCTCATATAAAAAGTCTAAAAATGGCAGCTGCTTCTGTTTTCACTACAATACAGTTTCCATAGTCATATCAAAGTACTTTTATATGCATGCACAGCAATTTAATTCTCCAGAATGCTTAAAGAATGAACTGCAGTGCTATGATTGTCCTGATTCTGGTTTTAAGGCTCTAAACGAGTCAGAAAATAAAAAAACTCCAAACTGCCAAGCAAGTGCCAGATCTGTACCCCCACCAGGATGGGTCAGCTGTGGGGAAGAGATGCAGAGCTTGTGCCTTGCACGTCTGCACGCATGCATGAGGTTGGGTGAGTGCAAAATTCTGCCGATAGAACTTTCTATGTGTCTTACCTATTGAACAGACCCTTGGGAGAGCAGTTTAGTAAACCCATGAAAATCAAAGGATACTCAGAGCGCGGTCTCTGACCAAGCTTCATCCTGCAACCCAGCCCAAGCGAAGATGAGCCTCACTAAGGCGAATGCTTCTCCCACCTACTACTCGCTCACGGAAAAGAAAAGAGCCTCAGATGACAGGACAGGAAGAGCTCGGAGAGACACAACATCAGCTTAATGACAAGAGCACCTTTCTCAGAGAGCTGCACCGTCCTCTGGCTGCTGGCCCTGGGCAGGAGGTGCCCCTCTGCCATGGCACAAGCCTGCAGAATTATGTGCATGAGCACTTGTTCGTCAGAGGGCACCAGAGGATTTTTTTTTCCCGGCTGCATGCTAGAGGCTGCGCTCCCTTCTGAACACGAAGTGCTGAATCCCCGGCATCTGAATCCCACATAATGCCAGAGAGTGAGCTTAGCGGGCAGCCGTACCGAGGAGTCACACAATGCTCTGGATGGGACTAATCTTGCCCAAAGCTGCAAATCGGGAGCTTTAATTCTACCCTGTGAGGAACCTCAGTGGAGAGACTCACGTAAGCAAAAATGTGCGTGGGTATGCAGATCTGCAGAATTAAGGCTTTCACATGTGTTACAAACATACATCTGCGGGTCTTCATATTTATGAAGCACCTCAAATTCCCAAGGCATTTCACAGATTTTATATATATAAAGAATATATATATAAAGAATATTGTCAGCCAGGTCCTGCTTTAGGAAAACATTTCCATTTGACACAGGGATATAACTATGCTCATAGAAGACCTGTTGAAAATAATGTGATTTTGGTACAAGTCCAAAATTAGTCATAAGTGCTTTTCTGAAAAAGGACGAATAAAACACTTACTTAAGTGCTTTCCTAAGTTCTGGCTCCAGTGATGTCTAACCTGGCTTTGTACTCATTATCACTTAACAGTGCTCAGAGCTATAGACTACCTGAGGACAGGGATGGAAAAACATCTTTCCTGAGCAAAACTGCAGGTAGGACTGGGAAAACAAAAGCAGAAAGACTCCTGACCTAGATTTGCTAGGATGCCTCTTTTGAAAGACCACAGTATGGCGACATGTAAAAACGTCTCACCCAGCCTAGCACCCTGCCTCTGCCACCTGTGGTCCCCAAGGGACCACATCTACTATGGGATACTTAGGAAAAGAGCATACAGAGTGTGATCCCTCTCTGAAATCATCCACGAGCTCCTAGAAAAATGGGCAGGGTCTCAGTTCCCCTTTGAGCACAGCTCCTTTTAATGATTTTGCTGGGCAAAGTTCAGTATCAGCTGGGAGTTCTACCTCCTGCCTTGCTTTTCCACAGACCTCGTTTGCTCGGCTGTGCTGTGGGTGACTTCGCTATGGCAACAGATAATTGTTCAATCTATCCATTGAGATTAATTTAATTAAGTTTGTGAAATAAAACAAACACTTTGCGATGGCTCCTCTGAAATCCAAACAGTTCAACCAGGAGGTTTTTTGTCTGTGTGCTGGGCTGTGGTGGGCAGATGTTAAAGGATCGCTGACAACTCAGACATCGTGTTTGTGATGTTCCTGTGACTTGTAGCACCCAGGCTCCAGCACTGAGGACACTGAGAGGAAATTGTACCAGTGTGTGTACTTTCCATAGGGAGACCTGACTGCGTATAACCAGCTTCACTCTTTCCCCTGCAATCATTTGAGATGAATTTCATTCCTGAGTGAAGGGCCAGAATTTGGTGTAAGCACCACTTAAATCCTATTTCAGCATTATTTCCAGAGCTTAAGCGGAGCTGATGCGGTACCTTGTGCAAATTCCCTTGTGTAGGGGTGAATTTCAGCATTGGTTCCCCTGACGCTGTGGGCCTTTCCCATAGCATCACGGGCTAGAGAAGACATTAAAGCATAAGGAAAATACGATTACAGAACCACAAATATTGGCAAGACTGACCTAGCTAGGCCCTCTGGACGGATCTCTAACTTTCTTTTTTAAACCTAGTAGATTTCCATCTGCCTGTATCTCTTTAATTTAAAAGAGACATCATTTCAAATGGCTTGTAAAACTGTAATGGCACATTTCCGGATCACCGTTTTGAAGGATGATTAGGCTGTGCTCCTTTGCCTCAAAGTTACCCTTCAATTTAGGGACTAAGAACATAAAAAAAATTAAGCTAAATGAACTTCAGTTCATAAAATGAACCGAGTTCTATGGACTGAAAAGCATGGAGTATAATTTTCCTTCTCCCTGTACAGAGGAAGCAGGTGGGACAAAATTTTAGGGGTAGTTCTAAACACATTTGTTCCCAAATCAGATCTGACAAACTGAATTTTGGCTGGAAGTTGGTTTCCACATCCAACAAGTAAATCCACAAGGAGATTAAATGCAGCAAGAATCCTAATAGGTGCATTTTGAGATGCTGCCATGCACCAGAAAGCCAAAATGTTTGACCTTTCCATGAGATCTCAATGCAAGATGAATTGTTGATTCTATGGACTTACTCAGGAGGCAGTAATGTGATTCAAATCATCTGACTGTCAACAGAAACCATTTACTCTTGTATAACAGTAAGCTAAAAATGCTTCTTCACAGTTGAGTATTTTGACTGAAAAATGAAATCGTACACTGAACGAGTCAGGAGAAGCTTTTCCCTGGAAAGCAGAGCTCAGGATGAACTAAATAATCATCACTGGTCATTATTATTTAGGTGTATGGATTTCTGTTAGTTCTGTTTATTTTCGAATTCCCTCCCCTCCACCCAAAATATTTTGGTATATATGTATTTATATACAAATTGCAAGTATTCCATTATGTGTGCGACAATGTTGACAGGGTCTCTGGAGGGCAACTAACCACCTGAACTCAGCAAAAACTGCCCTCAAAATGTAAGAAGTGAAATGCCCTAAGAAAAAAACCAAAACCAAATCAATTAGTAAACATTTCAACCCAGCTGCCTCCTGCTTCATTAGCACTTTCTGACACTGATATCAGCATCTCCAGACCCTTCCTAAGAATATTCTTGTCACCCGCATAATGCACAGCTGTTAACAAGCAGCTTCTGGAAACCTCTCAGACAGTCCTTTAGCCTACCAGTCAGATTTTGGTTGGTAAAATTAAGAAAAGGCATGATGTTATACTAGATCTTCTCTTCCAGCTACTGACTTTTGACTTGAAGGAAGGCCATTAACGTACTGACAACTGCTGAGAGCAAAAAAAAAAAAAAAAAAAAAACAAGGACGGAGTGAAGCTTTAAGCTTTTCTTTCTCTCTTTCACACTGTACGATTCTTGTCTAGAACAGAGCTTTAAGTAAAAGCCAACATAATGCAGTTTTCACCCAAATCTCAGCAATCTCTGTTAATTCAGAGCTCTCTTACAAGTAAAGACCTTCAGAATATACCATTTCCAAGGCTCCCACTTAGTGAAAGCAGGCTTCACATTAATGCAGGGTGTTGGTGCACCATCCTTCTGAAGCCATGTGTACTTCATGCAGAAATGACATGGCAATGATAAATCCTGGAGTGACCAGTGAACAGGAAATTCAGATTTCTGGATTGAACTCTTGAAAAAGCTGGGGTCAGTCAACAAAAACAGAGTGTCCATCCATAACAAATGATAAACAAACATAACAGATGTATGTCTTTTCAAAAAAAAAGAAACAAAACCCGACCAAACAAGTGTAGAAAACACTCAAGCTGTCATTTCAGTTGTGTATTTATGAGCCACTGAAGAGTTACATGACTGCTCTCAAGCACGTGGGTAAACCGGAAGCGTTCATCTCCCATGTGAACAAAACGAACGTATGTAGATGATGAAACCGCATCCAGGCAGACACAACTGTTGCTATTGCTTTTCGTGACCATCTCAGAATGGAGTGTGCAGGAGTGACAGTGCTCTGGAGGCATGTGCATGACTGGTCCAAATCCTAAAAAGCTGACTCGGTCCCTCCCTGTGACCCTCCCCTGTAGTTTAGTGTTGGATCTCTGTTTTTCAAGACTTCACCTCTTCGCAGTCTTGATCAGTGGAAAGCTCCACATCGGACAGTCCAACTTCCATTGCCATAATCAATGAAATGTCTGAATCACTGCTGACTGCTGGCTCCTGTTCATCTGTGAGGGTAGAAAAGACAGGAAAAGGGCATTATGGTCAGGTCTTTCTGTCAACGTATCGCTATTTTTCAGTTCTGGAGATGAGACCCAGAGGTTTCTCCACCACTGAGGTTGTGCTTAGATTTCAAACTTTGTTCTTACTCAGTATCTGTCTAAAATATTTCAAGAACATCACAAAGTTCAAGACATCAGTAGCAAGAAACATGATGACAAGGAGCCTGGATGGGTAACACTTTCTTCTCCTCCTCAGGAGGAGCCTCCCAGGGCTCTCCATCCATGACCTTCATCTTCATGACCTTCCTCCCAAAGCCTTCCCTCCCCATCCCCTTACACTACCCAACTTGGCACCATTCTGCTCTCCCTACAGAGGCTGCAAGTTAAGAACAAAGTCACAGACACCTGGTGGAGTGAGTTGGTCATCAGGAAAACATTTCTAACAGGAAAAAAAATTTGCCTGAACCCTCGTTAGGTGACAGAATCTCTGTTAGCAGAGACTTTTAAGAGCGTGCTAGGCTAATGTCTGAAAGAAGCAATACAGAATTTGTTAGTTCTGCCCCAGGACTCAGGACCAGGCTACCTGCCTTCTCAGGTGCCTTCTTTCATCCTTTTCCAGTCTCTTTTGTATTCACCGTTTCCTCTCATTTCAAGACACCTTGCAGGTTCTGATCTAGGCTGAAGGGATCTACCCTTATCCACCATGATCTCAAATACAGTGAGTCAGATTATTGATTTTTGACTCAAACTGCAAATCCCATCAAAACTACAAGCATAGGAGGAGTAAGTTGTTTTTGTTTTGATCCCACAGTACTTACTACATGCGTATCTAGTAGCAGATAAAGCCAACAGATTTTAAAAGACTAAAAGCTAATTTTGCTTCAAGAACAATCAGGAGAAGTGAAGCACACTGGATCTCTGGGGAGATTCTCACAGGCACAAAAATCCCATAGGTGGCTGAATCCCTGAGAGAAAAAGTTGATGGTTCATATTTTCAAGTGGTTTAATTACAGTGATTATATTTACGCTGTAACAATACAATGTATTTAAATCTCTGGCAGTTTTTCCTTTACATATTTTGTTCTTCAGACAAAAGAAGCAGAGCCTGATTGATGCTAAAAAGTTCAAAAGTTGAATATCTAAGAATTAATAAGAAAGAAACATTACAGAGGAGCCAGAAAAATAACTCCTCACAGTTTAATTATTCACTTGAAGCTAAGTGAGTACAATTAGTCTCCTCTCAAGAGCTGCATGATTTTTAGATCTGTTTCAGAGAAAATACATGTATTTACTTATGCTGGGATTAGACCTCATGTTCTGCAGAGAAAGCTTGAGTAGGGTCTGCATTATTCAAACTGAAAGAGTCAGTGCTTTCCTTTACAACACTGGATTATTTTTATACTTTCTTGATTGCATGATAAATAATTAATGCACACAGCCTCTTTATATCTGCATTCTTTTCCCTATCAATATGACAGTAGTAAAACATTTCAAGGGATTGCTTCAGACTATAAATGTTTCCACTGAAGGTGCAAGAAGTATTTATGAACTGAATGATACCTCCTGCAGACTTCAGGGGGCTTCAATTACAATTAACCATTAGGCGAACTGCTAGATCCAAGAGTACAAAAGTGCATCACATACATACACCTCCAAGACCTAAAGCATCATCTGTAGTGGTAACAGCTCCCTGAGCCAGAACGATGTGGTTCCAGACCACTGGATTATTCATCATTCCTCTATAACTAATAGGATTCTTCAAAACAATGAAAATGATGCTTTAAATGTTGACCCAAGAGCAAATTTGTATTTGCATGACAGAGTACCTAAGGCTTAGCCATGTTAAACCGCCGCTTGGAGCACTCTTGAGAGAAAGGTGATTGTCATCTGCACTGGCTGTGCAGGAAAGGAGGACTGGCTGAACGGTGGCAGCCACATGCTTGCTGAAGAGGCAGGCTGAGCTGCCAAGACCAAACATCAGAGCATCAAATAAGAAGTGTTTATGGTGCCGAAATGTTATTTTCAAGAATTGTTGCTCCTTCTAGGTAGGGTTGCACAGCAGAAAAAGATCTCAACAGAGTTCAAGACAGGCAGATAGAACAGCAGCAGATTTACAGCTCACCTACCACAACTGTTTAACCTATGTACATGAGCACCTACTTTCCAAATGAGCAAACTCAAGTTCAACACTATAAATCCTATACAATTATACAAATTCTTGGATCTTAGTCTTGCCAAGGTGTGGGCTTTGTAGTTTGTCTTCTTTGGGACTGAAGTACAGGTCAGTAGGAATAATGAACAAGGGATCCTAAAAATGCCCATGCCTGGGCCCCGGCATTGCTTTTCCAGCACTGCGCAGTGCCTAGAAACATGAACGCCCCACCTGCCTTGCTTGCTAACAGTGCAGCGGTTCAAAACCCTAAAGCTACAGCCTGCCACTTCAGCAGAGTGGGGAGAAAGACTCAAGACATCACCATCCCTTACACCTCCCCTTTCAGGGATGGGGTCAGGACTGACATTTCTTTGGAAGACGCAGTCAACACAAGGAAACTAAAGCATCTCTCATCATCACATGCTTGCTCTTGTAAACAGGAGTCCTGCTACTGATGCCAGCATGCACAGGATGGAACTCTGGGAGGCTGCAGAAGTTACACCAGCTGCAAGGTCTACAAGCTGCCTCACCGTGGCTCCCCCACACAACACAGGCTTTCTAGACTGTGGTGTTTGGTTTTGGTTTGGGTGTTTTTTTGCGTTTTTTTTGTTTTATTTTTTTGGCTGGGTGCTCAATAATGTGAGCCAGCACAGTTAGTGACATTTATTACACGTAAGCAAACCTCAACTAAACTGCAAGTACCAGGAGCTCACCCTGCATTTTGCATCCCTGGTTTTTAGATGCTATTTACAGTGACAAAGCATATACAATCACACAGCTTCTACTGAAGATGCCTGACTCATTGTAAAGAACTTTTATAAGCTTCCTGCAAGTTTTTTTAAATCTGGTGTTTATCTAAAAGCCCTGAAGTCAGGTGAGGATCTCAACTTACAGATCTCAGCTTTCACTGAAATGAATCTTAAGTAAAAAAGAAACATAACCCCCCCTCAAAAAAAAACCCCATATCCCTAATTACTAGAGATTTTATGTTGGAATATCTGACTTGTGATTCTAGATGTTTGAGACTGGCAGTCCTGTCTAACAACATACACCATAATACTTCCACTGTGTTTTATAGCAGTTCATGCCACAGGCATAAAGCCTTTTGCTTAATGAAGCAAAAGGCACATCCCAAGTTGCTTTTCATCCCGAGTGCTAGTGCTTACAGCAGGCAACTGTAGACCTCACTGCCACATTCCTCTCATGTCTGAGAAATGCAATACACCACAGCACGCTGCCTACTGCCAGACAGACTTTTTCCACTCGCTTATATTCCATGACACACATTCATTTGAGAGGTACAATAAAACAAACTACTGTAGCCAATATTACTTTAAATTTAGCTATGCTAATGCAGGAAGAATATCACCACTTAGATATGGAACTGTCCTACATAATAGCAGTACAGCCCTTACTTGTTGCGAAGTTCATTAAGTGATGTTTATATTTGAGTATAATTGCAATCAAACAAGGACAAAAATAGCTAATTACTCTGGTGCTTTAAAAACAGTAAGACTGCACACTAGTAATAGTTATCTACTGCTGCTGCTACTCCTAACACTTCGAGTAAGTCTGTAGCTGTTGTACCCTAATAAATATTCCAAAAGAAAAAGGTCAGGTGATGGGTTTCTAAGAATTTGATACTGTTTGCAAGAGTCCTGGGAGGGACCTAAGCAATCAACAGCAAGTGCAAAGTGCATTTACAAAAACCTTCCTCTGCCACGCGCAGCTAAGAACACAGGCATGGGCACAAATTGAGATACACTTGTAATGATGCACTCATGGAGGAGGAACAAGCTGATGTAACCCTGGGGGGTTTTGTGCTCATGAAGGTCTCACTCTTGCTCACCACTGTGCTTCTTCCTAGGAGGCCACATCTGACACTGCGCCCTGGTGTCCCCAGGACACGGGCAGTGCCATGGGGCTCTCCTAAAACTGGTCCTGCTTGTACCAGAGGCTGAGACTTCCCCTAAGCTCATGGAGCTGGAAAAGCTGCAGAACCCCATGATTGGACTAAAAAGTCTACAAGCAATTTGCATCCAGGAAATCGGCAGAAAAATAAGAATACACTAAAAGGTTATACAGCAAAAGTTTCTCAGCATTGAATGCATATAAGGTTTGTCTAAGATGACAGACTTTTTTTTTCTTCTCCGGACCTTCAGGTAGCTCTCTCCTATTACAGCCATTTGCGAAGTAAGCAGAGAAGTATTGATTATTGTATGTCAAATGAGAGCTGCTACCAAGTGTGTAATTCATCTACTGAAAGTATAACTAAAGCCAGCAATCTCTTGTTCCTGTGGATTAAAAACATGAGCCATGGCAATAAACTATTCAGTTGGGAGTCAGTCTCCCTTCCCTCATTTATTATCAGCTCTCCGTGAACTAATTCAGCATACTCAGTCCTGCTCCACACACAATTAAACCGTTGCACAGAGCTATGCAGCTACTAATGGTTTTCTTGGTGTTACCAGTCACAGAAACCAGAGGGTAAGAAAAAGCTGCTACCGTGATACTGACTTAGGCGTAACCTATTTGCCTGGCTATAAAGCTGAGCATTTAGCATAAGAAACAAGTCTTGTTTTGTGCAGATCTTCTGCTCTTGATGGTAGATGCCAAACTTGAGGAGAAATGAATAATTATTGATTTCTTCATCTAATGAAATGCTGTGAAAAATTTATCAGTTATCCTTAGCTGACAGAAATTGTACAGCAGACAACGGGACTCTGTCTACAACCTCATTTTGACAATAAATAGACAGCAAAACTTGGAATTTATTTCACTATTCATTTCACATTCTCACTACTGTGAAATATACCTTATTTCAGAATTCTTCATTTTCTGAAGATAAAACTAA